ACTTTTTTTTGTCAAACTTTCTAATTGTCATAGCGGTTATTTCATTATTATCCAGATAACGTCGATCAGGTGGCCGAGTGGTTAAGGCGTTGGACTGCTAATCCAATGTGCTCTGCACGCGTGGGTTCGAATCCCATCCTGGTCGTAGAAGTTTTTTGTCGAACTTTCTAATTGCTATAGGAGTAAATTCATTATTATCGAGAGTAATATGGACCAGGTGGCCGAGTGGTTAAGGCGTTGGACTGCTAATCCAATGTGCTCTGCACGCGTGGGTTCGAATCCCATCCTGGTCGTAGAAGTTTTTTTTGTCGAACTTTCTAATTGTCATAGGAGTTAATTCATTATTATCGGGAGTAACATGGACCAGGTGGCCGAGTGGTTAAGGCGTTGGACTGCTAATCCAATGTGCTCTGCACGCGTGGGTTCGAATCCCATCCTGGTCGTAGAATTTTTTTTTGTCGAACTTTCTAATTGTCATAGAGGTTATTTCATTATTATCGAGCCTAACATGGACCAGGTGGCCGAGTGGTTAAGGCGTTGGACTGCTGGTCTAGCGTGGGTTCGAATCCCATCCTGGTCGTAGAAGTTTTTTTGTCGAACTTTCTAATTGCCATAGGAGTAAATTCATTATTATCGAGAGTAATATGGACCAGGTGGCCGAGTGGTTAAGGCGTTGGACTGCTAATCCAATGTGCTCTGCACGCGTGGGTTCGAATCCCATCCTGGTCGTAGAAGTTTTTTTGTCGAACTTTCTAATTGTCATAGGAGTTAATTCATTATTATCAGGAGTAACATGGACCAGGTGGCCGAGTGGTTAAGGCGTTGGACTGCTAATCCAATGTGCTCTGCACGCGTGGGTTCGAATCCCATCCTGGTCGTACAACTTTTTTTTGTCAAACTTTCTAATTGTCATAGCGGTTATTTCATTATTAACCATGGTAACGTCGATCAGGTGGCCGAGTGGTTAAGGCGTTGGACTGCTAATCCAATGTGCTCTGCACGCGTGGGTTCGAATCCCATCCTGGTCGTAGAATTTTTTTGTCGAACTTTCTAATTGTCATAGAGGTTATTTCATTATTATCGAGCCTAACATGGACCAGGTGGCCGAGTGGTTAAGGCGTTGGACTGCTAATCCAATGTGCTCTGCACGCGTGGGTTCGAATCCCATCCTGGTCGTAGAAGTTTTTTTTGTCGAACTTTCTAATTGTCATAGGAGTAAATTCATTATTATCTGGAGTAACGGGGACCAGGTGGCCGAGTGGTTAAGGCGTTGGACTGCTAATCCAATGTGCTCTGCACGCGTGGGTTCGAATCCCATCCTGGTCGTAGAAGTTTTTTTTGTCGAACTTTCTAATTGTCATAGGAGTTAATTCATTATTATCGGGAGTAACATGGACCAGGTGGCCGAGTGGTTAAGGCGTTGGACTGCTAATCCAATGTGCTCTGCACGCGTGGGTTCGAATCCCATCCTGGTCGTACAACTTTTTTTTGTCAAACTTTCTAATTGTCATAGCGGTTATTTCATTATTATCCAAGGTAACGTCGATCAGGTGGCCGAGTGGTTAAGGCGTTGGACTGCTAATGTGCTCTGCACACGTGGGTTCGAATCCCATCCTGGTCGTAGAAGTTTTTTTTTGTCGAACTTTCTAATTGCCATAGGAGTTAATTCATTATTACCGAGAGTAACATGGATCAGGTGGCCGAGTGGTTAAGGCGTTGGACTGCTAATCCAATGTGCTCTGCACGCGTGGGTTCGAATCCCATCCTGGTCGTAGAAGTTTTTTTGTCAAACTTTTTAATTGTCATAGGAGTAAATTCATTATTATCGGGAGTACCGTGGACCAGGTGGCCGTGTGGTTAAGGCGTTGGACTGCTAATCCAATGTGCTCAGCACGCGTGGGTTCGAATCCCATCCTGGTCGCAGAAGTTTTTTTGTCGAACTTTCTAATTGCCATAGGAATAAATTCATTATTATCGGTAGTAATATGGACCAGGTGGCCGAGTGGTTAAGGCGTTGGACTGCTAATCCAATGTGCTCTGCACGCGTGGGTTCGAATCCCATCCTGGTCGTAGAAGTTTTTTTTGTCGAACTTTCTAATTGTCATAGGAGTTAATTCATTATTATCGGGAGTAACATGGACCAGGTGACCGAGTGGTTAAGGCGTTGGACTGCTAATCCAATGTGCCCTGCACGCGTGGGTTCGAATCCCATCCTGGTCGTAGAAGTTTTTTTGTCGAACTTTCTAATTGCCATAGGAGTAAATTCATTATTATCGAGAGTAATATGGACCAGGTGGCCGAGTGGTTAAGGCGTTGGACTGCTAATCCAATGTGCTCTGCACGCGTGGGTTCGAATCCCATCCTGGTCGTAGAAGTTTTTTTTGTCGAACTTTCTAATTGTCATAGGAGTTAATTTATTATTATCAGGAGTAACATGGACCAGGTGGCCGAGTGGTTAAGGCGTTGGACTGCTAATCCAATGTGCTCTGCACGCGTGGGTTCGAATCCCATCCTGGTCGTACAACTTTTTTTTGTCAAACTTTCTAATTGTCATAGCGGTTATTTCATTATTATCCAAGGTAACGTCGATCAGGTGGCCGAGTGGTTAAGGCGTTGGACTGCTAATCCAATGTGCTCTGCACGCGTGGGTTCGAATCCCATCCTGGTCGTAGAATTTTTTTTGTCGAACTTTCTAATTGTCATAGAGGTTATTTCATTATTATCGAGCCTCAGATGGACCACGTGGACGGGTGGTTAAGGCGTTGGACTGCTAATCCAATGTGCTCTGCACACGTGGGTTCGAATCCCATCCTGGTCGTAGAAGTTTTTTTTTGTCGAACTTTCTAATTGTCATAGGAGTTAATTCATTATTATCGGGAGTAACATGGACCAGGTGGCCGAGTGGTTAAGGCGTTGGACTGCTAATCCAATGTGCTCTGCACGCGTGGGTTCGAATCCCATCCTGGTCGTACAACTTTTTTTTGTCAAACTTTCTAATTGTCATAGCGGCTATTTCATTATTATCCAAGATAACGTCGACCAGGTGGCCATGTGGTTAAGGCGTTGGACTGCTAATCCAATGTGCTCAGCACGCGTGGGTTCGAATCCCATCCTGGTCGCAGAAGTTTTTTTTGTCGAACTTTCTAATTGTCATAGGAGTTAATTCATTATTATCGGGAGTAACATGGACCAGGTGACCGAGTGGTAATTGTCATAGCGGTTATTTCATTATTATCCAAGATAAGGTCGATCTGGTGGCCGAGTGGTTAAGGCGTTGGACTGCTAATCCAATGTGCTCTGCACGCGAGGGTTCGAATCCCATCCTGGTCGTAGAAGTTTTTTTTGTCGAACTTTCTAATTGTCATAGGAGTAAATTCATTATTATCGGGAGTAACGTGGACCAGGTGGCCGAGTGGTTAAGGCGTTGGACTGCTAATCCAATGTGCTCTGCACGCGTGGGTTCGAATCCCATCCTGGTCGTACAACTTTTTTTTGTCAACTTTCTAATTGTCATAGCGGTTATTTCATTATTATCCAAGATAACGTCGATCAGGTGGCCGAGTGGTTAAGGCGTTGGACTGCTAATCCAATGTGCTCTGCACGCGTGGGTTCGAATCCCATCCTGGTCGTAGAAGTTTTTTTGTCGAACTTTCTAATTGCCATAGGAGTAAATTCATTATTATCGAGAGTAATATGGACCAGGTGGCCGAGTGGTTAAGGCGTTGGACTGCTAATCCAATGTGCTCTGCACGCGTGGGTTCGAATCCCATCCTGGTCGTAGAAGTTTTTTTTGTCGAACTTTCTAATTGTCATAGGAGTAAATTCATTATTATCGGGAGTAACGTGGACCAGGTGGCCGAGTGGTTAAGGCGTTGGACTGCTAATCCAATGTGCTCTGCACGCGTGGGTTCGAATCCCATCCTGGTCGTAGAATTTTTTTTGTCGAACTTTCTAATTGTCATAGAGGTTATTTCATTATTATCGAGCCTCACATGGACCACGTGGCCGAGTGGTTAAGGCGTTGGACTGCTAATCCAATGTGCTCTGCACACGTGGGTTCGAATCCCATCCTGGTCGTAGAAGTTTTTTTTTGTCGAACGTCGATCAGGTGGCCGAGTGGTTAAGGCGTTGGACTGCTAATCCAATGTGCTCTGCACGCGTGGGTTCGAATCCCATCCTGGTCGTAGAAGTTTTTTTGTCGAACTTTCTAATTGTCATAGGAGTAAATTCATTATTATCGAGAGTAATATGGACCAGGTGGCCGAGTGGTTAAGGCGTTGGACTGCTAATCCAATGTGCTCTGCACGCGTGGGTTCGAATCCCATCCTGGTCGTAGAAGTTTTTTTTGTCGAACTTTCTAATTGTCATAGGAGTTAATTCATTATTATCGGGAGTAACATGGACCAGGTGGCCGAGTGGTTAAGGCGTTGGACTGCTAATCCAATGTGCTCTGCACGCGTGGGTTCGAATCCCATCCTGGTCGTACAACTTTTTTTTGTCAAACTTTCTAATTGTCATAGCGGTTATTTCATTATTATCCAAGATAACGTCGATCAGGTGGCCGAGTGGTTAAGGCGTTGGACTGCTAATCCAATGTGCTCTGCACGCGTGGGTTCGAATCCCATCCTGGTCGTAGAAGTTTTTTTGTCGAACTTTCTAATTGCCATAGGAGTAAATTCATTATTATCGAGAGTAATATGGACCAGGTGGCCGAGTGGTTAAGGCGTTGGACTGCTAATCCAATGTGCTCTGCACGCGTGGGTTCGAATCCCATCCTGGTCGTAGAAGTTTTTTTTGTCGAACTTTCTAATTGTCATAGGAGTTAATTCATTATTATCAGGAGTAACATGGACCAGGTGGCCGAGTGGTTAAGGCGTTGGACTGCTAATCCAATGTGCTCTGCACGCGTGGGTTCGAATCCCATCCTGGTCGTAGAATTTTTTTTTGTCGAACTTTCTAATTGTCATAGAGGTTATTTCATTATTATCGAGCCTAACATGGACCAGGTGGCCGAGTGGTTAAGGCGTTGGACTGGTGCTCTGGCGTGGGTTCGAATCCCATCCTGGTCGTAGAAGTTTTTTTGTCGAACTTTCTAATTGCCATAGGAGTAAATTCATTATTATCGGAGTAATATGGACCAGGTGGCCGAGTGGTTAAGGCGTTGGACTGCTAATCCAATGTGCTCTGCACGCGTGGGTTCGAATCCCATCCTGGTCGTAGAAGTTTTTTTGTCGAACTTTCTAATTGTCATAGGAGTTAATTCATTATTATCAGGAGTAACATGGACCAGGTGGCCGAGTGGTTAAGGCGTTGGACTGCTAATCCAATGTGCTCTGCACGCGTGGGTTCGAATCCCATCCTGGTCGTACAACTTTTTTTTGTCAACTTTCTAATTGTCATAGCGGTTATTTCATTATTATCCAGGTAACGTCGATCAGGTGGCCGAGTGGTTAAGGCGTTGGACTGCTAATCCAATGTGCTCTGCACGCGTGGGTTCGAATCCCATCCTGGTCGTAGAATTTTTTTGTCGAACTTTCTAATTGTCATAGAGGTTATTTCATTATTATCGAGAGTAACATGGACCAGGTGGCCGAGTGGTTAAGGCGTTGGACTGCTAATCCAATGTGCTCTGCACGCGTGGGTTCGAATCCCATCCTGGTCGTAGAAGTTTTTTTGTCGAACTTTCTAATTGTCATAGGAGTAAATTCATTATTATCGGAGTAACGGGACCAGGTGGCCGAGTGGTTAAGGCGTTGGACTGCTAATCCAATGTGCTCTGCACGCGTGGGTTCGAATCCCATCCTGGTCGTAGAAGTTTTTTTTGTCGAACTTTCTAATTGTCATAGGAGTTAATTCATTATTATCGGGAGTAACATGGACCAGGTGGCCGAGTGGTTAAGGCGTTGGACTGCTAATCCAATGTGCTCTGCACGCGTGGGTTCGAATCCCATCCTGGTCGTACAACTTTTTTTTGTCAAACTTTCTAATTGTCATAGCGTTATTTCATTATTATCCAAGGTAACGTCGATCAGGTGGCCGAGTGGTTAAGGCGTTGGACTGCTAATGTGCTCTGCACGCGTGGGTTCGAATCCCATCCTGGTCGTAGAAGTTTTTTTTTGTCGAACTTTCTAATTGCCATAGGAGTTAATTCATTATTATCGAGAGTAACATGGATCAGGTGGCCGAGTGGTTAAGGCGTTGGACTGCTAATCCAATGTGCTCTGCACGCGTGGGTTCGAATCCCATCCTGGTCGTAGAAGTTTTTTTGTCGAACTTTCTAATTGTCATAGGAGTAAATTCATTATTATCGGGAGTAACGTGGACCAGGTGGCCGAGTGGTTAAGGCGTTGGACTGCTAATCCAATGTGCTCTGCACGCGTGGGTTCGAATCCCATCCTGGTCGTAGAAGTTTTTTTGTCGAACTTTCTAATTGCCATAGGAGTAAATTCATTATTATCGGAGTAATATGGACCAGGTGGCCGAGTGGTTAAGGCGTTGGACTGCTAATCCAATGTGCTCTGCACGCGTGGGTTCGAATCCCATCCTGGTCGTAGAAGTTTTTTTTGTCGAACTTTCTAATTGTCATAGGAGTTAATTCATTATTATCGGGAGTAACATGGACCAGGTGGCCGAGTGGTTAAGGCGTTGGACTGCTAATCCAATGTGCTCTGCACGCGTGGGTTCGAATCCCATCCTGGTCGTAGAAGTTTTTTTGTCGAACTTTCTAATTGCCATAGGAGTAAATTCATTATTATCGAGAGTAATATGGACCAGGTGGCCGAGTGGTTAAGGCGTTGGACTGCTAATCCAATGTGCTCTGCACGCGTGGGTTCGAATCCCATCCTGGTCGTAGAAGTTTTTTTTGTCGAACTTTCTAATTGTCATAGGAGTTAATTTCATTATTATCAGGAGTAACATGGACCAGGTGGCCGAGTGGTTAAGGCGTTGGACTGCTAATCCAATGTGCTCTGCACGCGTGGGTTCGAATCCCATCCTGGTCGTACAACTTTTTTTTGTCAAACTTTCTAATTGTCATAGCGGTTATTTCATTATTAACCAAGGTAACGTCGATCAGGTGGCCGAGTGGTTAAGGCGTTGGACTGCTAATCCAATGTGCTCTGCACGCGTGGGTTCGAATCCCATCCTGGTCGTAGAATTTTTTTGTCGAACTTTCTAATTGTCATAGAGTTATTTCATTATTATCGAGCTAACATGGACCAGGTGGCCGAGTGGTTAAGGCGTTGGACTGCTAATCCAATGTGCTCTGCACGCGTGGGTTCGAATCCCATCCTGGTCGTAGAAGTTTTTTTTGTCGAACTTTCTAATTGTCATAGGAGTTAATTCATTATTATCGGGAGTAACATGGACCAGGTGGCCGAGTGGTTAAGGCGTTGGACTGCTAATCCAATGTGCTCTGCACGCGTGGGTTCGAATCCCATCCTGGTCGTACAACTTTTTTTTGTCAAACTTTCTAATTGTCATAGCGGTTATTTCATTATTATCCAAGATAACGTCGATCAGGTGGCCGAGTGGTTAAGGCGTTGGACTGCTAATCCAATGTGCTCTGCACGCGTGGGTTCGAATCCCATCCTGGTCGTAGAAGTTTTTTTTGTCGAACTTTCTAATTGTCATAGGAGTTAATTCATTATTATCGGGAGTACATGGACCAGGTGACCGAGTGGTAATTGTCAGCGGTTATTTCATTATTATCCAAGATAAGGTCGATCTGGTGGCCGAGTGGTTAAGGCGTTGGACTGCTAATCCAATGTGCTCTGCACGCGTGGGTTCGAATCCCATCCTGGTCGTAGAAGTTTTTTTTGTCGAACTTTCTAATTGTCATAGGAGTAAATTCATTATTATCGGGAGTAACATGGACCAGGTGGCCGAGTGGTTAAGGCGTTGGACTGCTAATCCAATGTGCTCTGCACGCGTGGGTTCGAATCCCATCCTGGTCGTACAACTTTTTTTTGTCAAACTTTCTAATTGTCATAGCGGTTATTTCATTATTATCCAAGATAACGTCGATCAGGTGGCCGAGTGGTTAAGGCGTTGGACTGCTAATCCAATGTGCTCTGCACGCGTGGGTTCGAATCCCATCCTGGTCGTAGAAGTTTTTTTGTCGAACTTTCTAATTGCCATAGGAGTAAATTCATTATTATCGAGAGTAATATGGACCAGGTGGCCGAGTGGTTAAGGCGTTGGACTGCTAATCCAATGTGCTCTGCACGCGTGGGTTCGAATCCCATCCTGGTCGTAGAAGTTTTTTTTGTCGAACTTTCTAATTGTCATAGGAGTAAATTCATTATTATCGGGAGTAACGTGGACCAGGTGGCCGAGTGGTTAAGGCGTTGGACTGCTAATCCAATGTGCTCTGCACGCGTGGGTTCGAATCCCATCCTGGTCGTAAATTTTTTTTGTCGAACTTTCTAATTGTCATAGAGGTTATTTCATTATTATCGAGCTACATGGACCAGGTGGCCGAGTGGTTAAGGCGTTGGACTGCTAATCCAATGTGCTCTGCACGCGTGGGTTCGAATCCCATCCTGGTCGTAGAAGTTTTTTTTTTGTCGAGCGTCGATCAGGTGGCCGAGTGGTTAAGGCGTTGGACTGCTAATCCAATGTGCTCTGCACGCGTGGGTTCGAATCCCATCCTGGTCGTAGAAGTTTTTTTTGTCGAACTTTCTAATTGTCATAGGAGTAAATTCATTATTATCGGAGTAACATGGACCAGGTGGCCGAGTGGTTAAGGCGTTGGACTGCTAATCCAATGTGCTCTGCACGCGTGGGTTCGAATCCCATCCTGGTCGTACAACTTTTTTTGTCAAACTTTCTAATTGTCATAGCGGTTATTTCATTATTATCCAAGATAACGTCGATCAGGTGGCCGAGTGGTTAAGGCGTTGGACTGCTAATCCAATGTGCTCTGCACGCGTGGGTTCGAATCCCATCCTGGTCGTAGAAGTTTTTTTGTCGAACTTTCTAATTGCCATAGGAGTAAATTCATTATTATCGAGAGTAATATGGACCAGGTGGCCGAGTGGTTAAGGCGTTGGACTGCTAATCCAATGTGCTCTGCACACGTGGGTTCGAATCCCATCCTGGTCGTAGAAGTTTTTTTTTGTCGAACTTTCTAATTGCCATAGGAGTTAATTCATTATTATCGAGAGTAACATGGATCAGGTGGCCGAGTGGTTAAGGCGTTGGACTGCTAATCCAATGTGCTCTGCACGCGTGGGTTCGAATCCCATCCTGGTATTTCATTATTATCCAAGATAACGTCGATCAGGTGGCCGAGTGGTTAAGGCGTTGGACTGCTAATCCAATGTGCTCTGCACGCGTGGGTTCGAATCCCATCCTGGTCGTAGAAGTTTTTTTTGTCGAACTTTCTAATTGCCATAGGAGTAAATTCATTATTATCGAGAGTATATGGACCAGGTGGCCGAGTGGTTAAGGCGTTGGACTGCTAATCCAATGTGCTCTGCACGCGTGGGTTCGAATCCCATCCTGGTCGTAGAAGTTTTTTTTGTCGAACTTTCTAATTGTCATAGGAGTTAATTCATTATTATCAGGAGTACATGGACCAGGTGGCCGAGTGGTTAAGGCGTTGGACTGCTAATCCAATGTGCTCTGCACGCGTGGGTTCGAATCCCATCCTGGTCGTAGAATTTTTTTTGTCGAACTTTCTAATTGTCATAGGGTTATTTCATTATTATCGAGCCTAACATGGACCAGGTGGCCGAGTGGTTAAGGCGTTGGACTGCTAATGTGCTCTGCACGCGTGGGTTCGAATCCCATCCTGGTCGTAGAAGTTTTTTTGTCGAACTTTCTAATTGTCATAGGAGTAAATTCATTATTATCGAGAGTAATATGGACCAGGTGGCCGAGTGGTTAAGGCGTTGGACTGCTAATCCAATGTGCTCTGCACGCGTGGGTTCGAATCCCATCCTGGTCGTAGAAGTTTTTTTGTCGAACTTTCTAATTGTCATAGGAGTTAATTCATTATTATCAGAGTAACATGGACCAGGTGGCCGAGTGGTTAAGGCGTTGGACTGCTAATCCAATGTGCTCT